GAGATCCACTTCCTGGAACTGCTAGGCACAGGGAGTTCTATCCCGAAGGTGTAGCTAATATTCTCAAGGTAATTTCATCCTGCATGTCATATGCTTTAGCTTATCTCTGCTGATCTTTGGTTGAAGGTTCCTGCTTTTTACATATATGTGTTACAGTACTCATTGTTTACTCTCTGGCATTCAGGGAGAATGGATCTTATCCGGAAGAGATTTGGGCCGTGACTCGGAATTGATTCATGTTTACATGTATGGCGTGAAATGTGTAAACTCTGGCTCTTCAAAAGATCCTTTCTTGAATCAAGTTTCAGATTTCGCAGTTCTAGTAGGAAATGAACTGGATGCAGAGGTACCTTATTTCCATTTTGGGCGTGATGACATCTATTTTTCATTCCCTGTTCTTTGCTAACTGGTTTTCTGTTAATAGGTGTTATCGATGTCGATGGATCTATTTATCGCTCGAACCATGACTACAAAGGCATCCCTTGTCTTCAGGGGTTCAATATATATCACTGAAAGTCAGGTTGATAGTCTCTTACCCCACTTGAATGTGATAAATTTTATTACGGTTTTACTGTTTAGATTTTCGGCTACAGATTTTTAAACAAATTTTCAATTTCTTGTGTACAGTTGGCGTCCCTTAAAAGTTTTCATGTAAGATTGATGAGTATTGTACTGGACGTGGATGTCAAACCTTCCACCACTCCTTGGGATCCTGCAAAGGCTTATTTATTTGTCCCTGTGGTTAGCGATAAGTGTGTGGATCCTATGAAAGAAATAGATTGGGATCTGGTTGAAAATATAAATGGTGCAGAGGCTTGGAATAATCCCCTTCAAAGAGCTCGACCTGATGTTTCCCTTGGCACAAGTGAGCGTACGCTAGGTGGAGACAGAAGGGAGTATGGTTTCGCGAAATTGCGTCATGGCATGGCTTTTGGACAAAAATCCCATCCAACCTATGGTATCAGAGGAGCTGTGGCACAGTTTGATGTTGTTAAAGCTTCCGGACTGATGCCTGATCGGGATGCCCTAGAGATTAGAAAGCTGGTAGATTTGCCCAAAGACAAATTATTTATGGCTGATCCTACATGTGTCAGTGTCGAAGGCTTGGTCGGGAGGATTGTGACAGCTGCTCACTCAGGGAAGAGGTTTTATGTGGATTCAATATGCTATGATATGACGGCAGAAAACTCTTTCCCCCGGAAAGAAGGCTACCTTGGCCCTGTGGAGTACAGCTCATATGCTGATTATTACAAGCAAAAGTATGATACACTTTTCCATTCTAGATTCTGATGTTTTTTTAGTTATTTTATTATGCCTTTCTAGATTTATACTCCTAAACCTAGAAACTAGTCGATTCTTAATGGACGGCTACAATGCACCCGAGATTATGTGCTTGAAGAAGAGGAAAGCTAAAGGTGGTGCTTGGTTCCTGAGTAGCATTTTGTTTGTAGAAATGTTAGAAAGTGAATGAAAACATTTTCATTTGCACTTGTCGGGGTAATGAAAATTTTATTCAAGTCACGGACCAAACACCACCTAGTTTTAATCTGGAAGGAAGTAGTTAACTATTGTCAGGTGGAAAATTTTGATTCATCAATGAAATGTTCCAATAAATTTTCCAGTGCCAATAGTTGCGAACCCTTTACAGATTGGAGAAGCTTTCTTCTTTCTTCTTGCACAGTGAAGGGTGCATTTGGCTATTTGATCTTTTTTATATAGGTATGGAGTTGAATTGGTCTATAAGCAACAACCTTTAATAAGAGGACGCGGTGTCTCGTATTGCAAGAATCTCCTGTCTCCACGATTTGAACATACGGAAGGTATGCTCTATTCTTTACCCTTAAATTAATTTACATTTCACCCTTTTTATTTATTTATTTTTTGAGCTAATGGAGCTTTTATGCAGAACAAGATGGTGAATCTGAAGAAACTCTTGACAAAACGTACTATGTTTTCCTCCCTCCTGAGCTTTGTTTAGTACACCCATTGCCCGGATCACTTGTCCGTGGTGCCCAGAGACTACCCTCAATAATGAGAAGGGTTGAAAGCATGCTGCTTGCAGTCGAACTTAAAGATATGATAAACTATTCTGTCCCTGCTTCAAAGGTATTTTATCATCTCAAGTGCTTATTCTAAGTGGCTATTAACTACTTGATTAATGTGTGTTGCCTGCTATCTACAGATCCTGGAAGCCCTGACAGCCGCTTCATGCCAGGAGACATTTTGCTACGAAAGAGCAGAACTTCTGGGTGATGCTTACCTGAAATGGGTAGTTAGTCGATTTCTCTTTCTTAAATACCCTCAGAAACACGAGGGTCAGCTTACTAGGATGAGGCAACAAATGGTTAGCAACATGGTTTTATACCAGTATGCATTGAAAAAAGGACTTCAGTCATATATCCAATCAGATCGCTTTTCTCCATCTCGGTGGGCTGCTCCTGGGGTGTTACCTGTCTTTGATGAGTATACAAACGATGGAGAATCATCCTTGTTTGACGAGGAGGAAAACCCTGTAGGGCAAATGGATCGTCCTGGTGATATATATGAGGATGATGAGCTGGAGGATGGGGAGCTTGAAGGTGACTCGAGTTCTTATAGAGTCCTTTCTAGCAAGACACTAGCAGATGTTGTCGAAGCACTTATCGGAGTTTACTATGTTGAAGGTGGGAAAAATGCTGCTAACCATCTCATGAAGTGGATTGGAATTGAGATAGAGCTTGACCCCAATGGGCTAGAGTGCATACCGAAGCCATCTAGCGTTCCAGAGAGTGTACTTAGGAGTGTCAACTTTGATGCCTTAGAAGGTGCTCTGAATTTTAAATTTAGTGATAGGGGCTTTTTGGTAGAAGCCATTAGTCATGCTTCTCGACCATCTGCTGGAGTATCCTGCTATCAGCGGCTGGAGTTTGTTGGTGATGCCGTCTTAGATCATCTCATTACCAGGCACTTGTTCTTCACGTACACAAATCTACCTCCAGGCAGGTTGACTGATCTGCGAGCTGCTGCTGTTAACAATGAAAACTTTGCACGTGTTGCTGTGAAACATAATCTCCATGTGCACCTTAGGCATGGGTCAACTGCCCTTGAAAAACAGGTACTCAAGTCTCTTTCTTACACTTAAAAACTTTGGATTCTCATACTTGAATGGTGAGCTGATGTTCTGCCATAATTATCTTATTTTGTTTACGGATTAGGCAGGTTAGCTGCGAGCACAGAGCCTAGATCCTAATTTAGTGTTTTTGGATTCTGTTTACAGATTCATGACTTTGTGAAGGAAGTCGGAAATGAATTATCAAAGCCAGGGTTCAACTCCTTTGGTTTGGGAGATTGCAAAGCTCCAAAGGTTTTGGGTGACATTTTTGAATCTATTGCTGGTGCCGTATTTCTTGACAGTGGACGTGATACCGGAGCTGTTTGGAAGGTAGATCTCTGTCAAGGCACATAGCTAATCTGCATTTTCACTTTTCGATGTTCTTTTGGTGATGAGTTTGGGAAACTAATCCATGAATTTCTGGTCTTTCCATCTCTGTGGTCATAGGTCTTTCAACCTCTGCTGCAACCAATGGTTACTCCAGAGACACTGCCAATGCATCCGGTGCGTGAGCTGCAAGAAAGATGCCAGCAACTGGCTGAAGGCTTGGAATACAAAGCCACTCGAAGTGGAAATGTGGCTACAGTCGAAGTCTTCATTGATGGCATCCAGATGGCAATTGCTCAGAATCCGCAAAAGAAGATGGCACAGAAACTGGCTGCTAGGAATGCACTTGCTGTTTTGAAAGACAAGGAAACAGCTGAAGCAAAAGAGAAGGAGGAGAATGGGAAGAAGAAGAAGAATGGTAGCCAAACATTTACTCGACAAACTTTGAATGACATATGCTTGCGCAAAAATTGGCCCATGCCGTTTTACCGGTAAGAAATTTTGAAGTCATAGTTTCGTAGGGATTCGAGATAAAAATTTCTAGCTCGTACTACGTTTTAAATTTAGTTGGTTTTCGACTGTTTCAAAACGTATGATATGTTTGCATGTTTAGGTGTGTGAATGAGGGTGGCCCTGCACATGCAAAGAAGTTCACATTTGCGGTACGTGTGAATACCTCGGACAGGGGATGGACAGACGAATGTGTCGGGGAGCCTATGCCCAGTGTTAAGAAGGCCAAGGACTCGGCAGCAGTTCTTCTCTTGGAACTTTTAAATAAGTTATACTCGTGATGGCACGACGGATGCTGGTGTTTGCAACTCTATTTTTCTGGTTGTGAATGCCTCGGCATTGCTATTTACCATGAACAAGCTGTAACTTAGACCTTAAGTGAGGTTAAGTGTTTAAAATGTACTGCTTTAACGAATTGAATACAAGTAGACAATGCAAGCAGGGAATTTGTTTTAACAATGTTTCGTTTAGCTGTTTGCAACTTGGGTCCAAAATATAATGTGGTTTTACCTATTCGAACCCACGAATATATGCATATGACCATTTGGTTTAGTAACACTCAGTCTCTAATTTATCGGGATTAAGTCACAAGTTCTAGTCTCATGAACGAACTGCATTTTAAAAATTTTACTTCTCACACAAGCAATATGATGGCAGAGAGAAGTAGACAGCTTGCCATAATTTCAAATGTGGCGATGGCTTTTTTATGAGATGAAAAATAGTAGAGAGATTTCTATGCATCTCGTAACCGGTGGCCTTCTAATTAGTAGCAGCATTTCCCTTTGTAATTACGTACCTTGTACTTTCTCCCTTTCTCTTTTGTATTCTCCGTTAGTTTGTGATCCTTCACAGTTATTCTTGCAAAATATTATCTAAATCGAAAAAACAGTTTTCAATTTGATTTATATTTTGTAGATGAGATTTTTAAAGAGTGACCTAAAAGACGAGCAGTTCCTTTCATCAAACCTAATTGTAGAATGGGAACAGCCACTTAGTACTATGGTCTAGTAGTGTTCGTCTTCACTTGAGGTGAATTTTCATGAAAGTTGTACTGCCTCTCTCAATGTCCAAATTGAAAACAAATCATCATTTTAATTTAGGATTGGAACACATCCTCCATCCCAGCTGGATAAAAATAAATAAGCAAATTAACGAAGGAAATTCGTTATAATTGTTTAGACAAATTCTAAATCGAAGAATTTTTGAAGATAGGTAATCTTTTCCATTTTAAAGTCCAAGGACGCAGAGAGCAAGAGTCAAAATCTTGTCGTGAATACAGGGGGCGAGATGCTCTACCACTGAAGCAAGAAGATCCGAACCAGAAGATGATACTGCTTTCAAACGGTGAAACCGCACGTAATGGAAATGGAAACGACATTCTCTAGTGACTTCCTCTTAACTTTACTAATCAACCAAACAATCACCAATCGAATCCAGAACAGAAATAGTAAAACTGGGGAAGTTCTGCATGAAATCTTCCTTCTGCCATTGATAAAAATGGCTTATTTGTAATTAGTGGTTTGTATGTTTACCGCCTTAAGGTGTGCATTATGTACTCAGCATAAAGATCCCTGCACCAAAACATACAAGTCAGACACTGCATCAGGTTTTTTATCTCTTTCTTAAGCAACAAGAAACATTAGAGCTTCGATCGCCATGTCTCGGAAGCTTGTGGATCCTAAAGATAAAACTTACATTGAGTACTGGATAGCTTCAAGAGCAGTGCTAGCGGGCAAGAAGGCGTTTACTGCAACCTCTTTGTTCTCATTCTTCTTGTCTGTGCAGTATGTTAAGAAAAATGGTGCAGCATTGTAATTCCATTGAAGTCTTAAAATCTAAAGCGATGCATTAAGTTTTAAAGTACGAATGTGAACTGAAGGATACAGTCTTCAAAGAAGCGACGAATCTCAGAAAGGCGATGAGGGGGGAGGTCATCGAGTGCAGTGTAATGTGTGTACTCTGGATCATCGGCGCAGACTGCGATGATCTTATCATCTTTCTCTCCCTGGATTAAAAACATGAATCAGTAATTGTGAAAGTTCATGCACAAAACTGAACAGTTATAGAAAGATGGTAGAGGCTCAACCTGATCAATCATGGGCATCACTCCAATGGCTCTGGCTCGCAGAAAGCAACCCGGAAGCACAGGTTCCTGTTTTAATTCATTTATTTAAATAAATACTCATCAATACTTCATGAATTATACTCATTACTTTGTTATGTTCGAATGGATTTGATTAACGAAAATTTCTTCAAAAAGATGACTTGTGAAAATCTGAAAACCACCTGCATGAGGACTAAAACATCCAGTGGATCATTGTCTTCACACAAGGTGCGAGGGATGAAGCCGTAATTGTGAGGATACACCACCGACGAGTATAAAATCCGATCAACCTGAGAGTTTATGCGAAACATTTAAGGACAATCTGAACTTAGATACTTGAGATACGAGAAAGTAATTCTCAAGGTAATTCAGAGCTGTGAATTTTTTTTCATACCTTAATCATTCCTGTCTTCTTGTCAAGTTCATATTTGACTTTGCTTCCCTTTGTTATTTCGATAACCTGAACCAATCCAACAAACAATTCAATTAATTTGCAACTTTATGGACAACATTATGATTTCGTGCAGTCACTTGTTTTGGCTCAACGGAAACTAATTATTTGATAAAGAAGGAGCAGATACATACAACGTTGAAAATATCGGGTGCACTAGGTCCTGCAAACAAAGATTTCGCAACATGATCAGTTTCTTCCAGGAAAAGAACCGAAACGAAAGAATAAAAGAAAAGGGCTAGTGATTTTAACGCTCATTCTTTAGCCTCCTGCACTCCATCCGTGAGCGTGGGACAAATAGTAAAATATTCAGTTTAGAGTGCAGAGGGCTGAAAAAGGCGCGTCAAAATCGCTACCCAAAAAGAAAGGTATAAGCAAAAGCTAGAGAGATCTAGTAAGTGTGAAACTGTAGGTACCAATTTCAAGATCATGCCAAGGATGTGCAGCAACTGATCTTCTTGACAGAGATGAAAGGATCCTCTCATTCAATTTGGGAGCTTTTTGAGTTCTAGTTTCTTCTCCTCCAGACATCTCTAACTATATGCAGGTAAAAAGTAAAAGGGTAAAACATCACATTGCAGCTGTTAGTAAAAAAAAAAAAAAACATTCAAACAACAAATAGGATATTGATGAGTGAACCATCAACACACTCGAATAAATCATGGCCTGGGAAAACAAAATTACCAATCCAAATGTTGAGCTAATATAACAGGATGACTAGGAGATTTGAGGTAAATATTACAGGATTACACATGGTGATTAAAGATCAACAAGCCCATTTAAATCCCTATATCCAAATCCCTCATAATTCATACATTTTGGACATTGCAATTTATAGCACCGTTGATTAGTCAAAGACACGTTTTTACTGTGAAAAATGGGATGAACAAGAACAACCCGATAAAAGACAAGATCGTTAATTACAAGATTAGGAAGCCAAAACAAAGATCTCAAGCAAAACTAAGACAAAGGTTTTGATAATAATCATGGTTTATTTATGATAAAACATAATACAGAGTCATGAACTGAAGCAAAAATATAATAAACACCTTGAAAGTGCAAAAAGGGCAGTTGGGGAACTTTGTTGATGCAGAAACTTGAAACTAAGAAAAGGAGGATTGAATAGCAAATGTGCTTATAAGGCTGGAGTGATTGGATGAACATAAAATATTTATATATTAGGTGGATAGGAGCAGAGAAGGAAGAGGCTGGTCAAAACGTTTGAGGGATTATTGCCTCGTGTCTACCTACGAGAGAAGGTAGCTACCTGAAGACCCAACCCTTACGTTGAACCTTCGAAGTTGGTTAATCTTTTACTTTGATTATTTGTTTTTGTTTTCGTTTTTTTGTTTGTTTTTGTTTTATGTTAAATATGAAAAAGGATTCAGAAAATGAAATGAAAATGTGTTTATTGCTTCAACATACAAGGGTCTGAACTCGTTGTAATGAGTATTATTTACCCTGCATTAATTTGAGATCGTGTTTTGCCTTTTTACTACGGTGTGAGTTCGAATTTCATCGACTCTTTAATCTAACAAATCTATTGTTTGACAAAAAAAAGAAAAATCGAGATCGTGTTTAATTTTTTACTTTTCTATGTTAGTTGTTAAATAGGAGTAACCGCAATTAAAGATAAAATGAGAGAACATCAATTAAGGTGGTTTAGATATGTGAGTTCGAGATCGTGTTTTGCCCTTTACTATGGTGTGAGTTCGAATTTCGTCGACTCTTTAATCTAACAAATCTATCGTTTGACAAAAAAAAAGAAAAATCGAGATCGTGTTTAATTTTTTACTTTTCTATGTTAGTTGTTAAATAGGAGTGACCGCAATTAAAGATAAAATGAGAGAAAATCAATTAAGCTGGTTTAGACATGTGAAACAATTACCTATGAATGCTATGGTTATAAAATGCGATTATGAGACAGGTTCTAGGAAAAAAGGGTAAAGAAAAACCAAGAAAGACTTGGAAAGACATTTTGAAAAAAAAAACATGGAGTACTTAGAGCTAACGGAAGACTAGGCACAAAATCAAGGGCAGTGACGTTCTAAGACTCATTTAGCCGACTCCACTTAATGAAATAAAGCTTTGTTATTGTAGCTCAGTTAGTTAGCATTATTTTTGCAATCAAATTTAAGAGAAATGTGTGTGTGTGTGTGTGTGTATCATCCGATAATGTGCCTCCTCTCAATATTTCCTTGTGCAAAACCTTATATTAAGCTTGTTAGTATATATGAGTAATAGACTATTAACACAATACGTGAAAAAAGAACAATAAAGAGAGATTTGAGAATGAGAAAAAAGCAACGGATTAAGACATTACACCAAACGTAGATGAAGTGGTGAAAACTATTTTGATTTGTCTCAAAACAAAACACAAATTTTTTAAAATGCCTCCTTTTAGTTGAATATCTCCAATCCTTCTCGAGATCATACGTTTGAACTCCCCTTTTATCCGAAAAGTTATTCTTATTATAACAAATTAGCAGAGAGCACACACTTTGTGTGTGTAAACAATTTCTCTTAATAAGTGTATAATTTTTTTTAGGGAATTGTTATTAGCACAAGGGTAAAATTGAAAAAATATGATTGTCATTATCTCAAAAAAGAGGGTAAAATAGGAAAAATATGGATATGATTGTCATTTTGTCAAAAAAGTACAAAATTATTATTTTGCCCTCATTTTGTCAATAATGTATATCAAAAGTGAGAGCAAAATAGAAAAAACAAAGGAAAAAAAAATTGACAAAGAGAGTTTTCTTGATAATAGCATAGATAAGAATTAACTAAGTCAAACATAGAGAAAATCTCAATCTATAGTAACACGTACAAGATAGGTGAACCTCACCTGGATAGTAAAAATTCAGATGGGATTATTTGGGCAAATCTCAACTAACTCAACATCAATCTTTGTAATATAATAATTTTTTGACGGTAATCTAATATAATAATTTAATTCCATTACTTTGGCATTACTATTCAAGATTTGGTACTTGTCTAATATTTTGTTGTTTATGGTTCTATCACTAGAGAGTTCAGTACGTGGAAATGACCATAAACATGGTTCTAGTAGCTTTTATATTATTTGAAAATTTAATTGGTCAACCTTGCTATTGTTTCCATTTCCAAAAGGATGATGTATTTAAATATTTAGTTATGTGCTTAAGAGGGTGTGAACCAACCACTATACCAAAAGACGGTGTTTTTTTTTTTTTTCCTGTCGTTTTTGATAAGAAAATTTTGGGTATAATAAAAAATATATCTTGATTCTCTCTCACTTAGTTTATGTGTAATAATCTTCTCAGGATCTATATCATGTGTCATTAAGACCAAGGAAATAAGAGATGTTGTTAAGGGGTGTTAGTGTTTGCAACCCTACTTGTTGCCTCAACAGTGTTAAAAAGTGCAAAATCAATTTCGAAATGGGTGAAGATGCTCAAAATCCTTTTATGGTCGTTACATATTGGATTTTTATTGCTTTTTTGTGTTAGTTTATTGTCAAATCTGCTAGGCTCCTAGATAGGATTTGATGTGGCGATCTCTTGTAATTTGTTCTCAGAGTACCAAAATGTTTAGGCATTATAAAGACCACATTAAGTTGATGCATTGCACTTTATTTTTACCAATTCTAGAACAGTTCAAGTGAATAAGGTTCTTGTTGTGTGATTGTAAAAGTTGAGAACTCATTTCTTTGTTTTCAAACTCAACAGTTCCAAACAGATGATTTTATTTGACGAGTTTGAAGAAGCTTTAATTATTAAAAGATCTCTAATCTTACTTGTCCTAAATAAGCTGTGAAACCAAATCGGGATAGGAAATCGATTTTACTCCAACAATTGAGTCGACTGGAAAGATGGATTGCTAACTTTTTGTACTTCTGCAAGCTTCAGTTGTCATTGATTTGATGTAACCAGTCGAGATGCATTCTTATAAAGCAAGGCATCATTTTCTCTCATGTTCAAGTTGATATAAGACACCATTATTATAAATCAGAACTGAATCGAATTTATTTTTAGGAAGCGAGTGAGGGAGAGGAGAATCAAACTTAGGATATATGATGCAAGAGAGAATGCTGAACTAGTTGAATATTAAAGTGCACAGCGAATAAGACTATATAATAATAAAAATATTATTAAATAAACTAGAATGCCAACATGACTATAAAACCTTAAGAGACTACATTGTGACGAACTTATTCTACGGAGTTACGAAGCATTATATTTATAACGAACAAACCTAATCCCAATACTAACAAGCTAGGCCCAAACAAAACTTATAAGAAAACACAAACAATATAATACCTAAAATACTAATATTTCCAATATCATCCGCCAAACTCATGGCGGTATGCGACATAAGTTTGCAAACAAGCAGATGTGGACTAGCAGGCATGCAAACTTGACTTGACTTGATCTGATCGAACTGGCGAACTAATTCATATTCAGACTAGCCACTGTTAAGAACATGGACATAACCCGTTACTGAACGGATGAGATTTCCATATCTCACTTGTAGCAATGAACAAACAAAAACAAAATATTATCACTCAAGTGGTCGCTGATTCAAGCACTCTAGTGACTGCTACAAAACAAACCAAATAGGCCAATGACTAGTGTGGGCCTCACTTTAAACCAAAAATGGGCAAACATCGCATTTTTCTTTGCCCGTGTGGGGCTCAAAACCTCAAACTTTTTATCTTTGCCTTTTCTTTTCTCCTTCCTATTTCTCCTTTTTTTTTTTCTCCGACAAGCGCCGCAATCCTCAGACTGCATTAGAACTCCAATACAACCGTCAAATCAACAACAAAAAAGGCAAGGACAAGAATTTGAAAAGCAACAGCAAGTGCAAACAATTCGATGGAGGAGACTTTTGGTTGCAGGCGGCAAGGGTGACGACAGCGTGCAGTGGCGATGGGATTTTGTTGCAGCGGTGGCTCAGTGGGTTCAAGACTGCAGCGGAGTACAGGGTCGAGCAGCAGCGGTGGTGGGGCAGCGGATGCAGGCAACAGGCGGGTTGGATTGGGCAGTTAAACACTGGTGCAGCGTAGCGGGAAGGTTGGCAGCAAACTAGTTTGTATTTGCAGTGGGTTGGTGGTGGTGCGGCAGTGTTGATCAATGGCAGGCGGTGGTTCGAACTGGTGCAGATGCAGAGCAAGTGCAAGCTGAACGGTTTCTGCGCAGGATCTGGTACGAGCGGTGGCTTCGGTTACGTACGTTATGTTTTGGCTTGGCTCCAGTGCGGTGCGGCTCCGGCGGCTCAGGGCGACGACATTTTTTATAATTTTTTTTCAAACTAAACCAACGACAATCTAAACAACGAACAAGACGGACAAACAAACTGATACGAATCAAGGGTAGATAAATCTTAAAGGATCAACCAAGTTGAATATCAGAGTGCATACTACACAATAATAAGAATATTATTAAATAAATTAGAATGACGAAATGACTATAAAACCTCAAGAGACTACATTGTAATGAACTTATTCTACAGAGCTACAACGTATTATATTTATAGCGAACAAACCTAACCTTAATACTAATAGGCTAGGCCCAAACTAAACTTATAAGAAAACCCAAACGGAACTTGTAAGAAAACCCAAATAATATAAAGGAAAATTTCATTTGAATCCATGTAACATCTTTCTACACCCAACTTATTCTCTACACTCATATTATTTGCAATTAAAGAATTAATATCTTTTTAAACCCAAATTTATTACCTAAACTACCCTTCCAAACCCAATTCAAAGTGTAAATTATCTTTATACCCATTTATAAAATAAAATCTCAAATTAAATAAGATCTAACAGGGGGAAAAAAAATCCCCATATAGCTAACTAGCTTGAATTTGGGTACATACAAAAATGTTCTATATATTATTGGCTTATTGAATGTTAATAATTTGAAATTTTGATCAGTTTTTCACTTGAACTGTTCCAAAATTTTCTTGAAAATTCCCTTCTCCACAATTCGAAGCTCAAGAGACCGGATCGAATTGCTTCTCCTCAAGACCACATAGCCATGATCCAAAAATGTTGCATCCATTTCTCTACAACATTCACTAAGAACTCTCTCTTCAACTTGTCCTTTGATCTCCCAGTATATTATGTAGTGGCCTAGTTTTGGGACATCAAATCTACATGGCTTGTGAAATCGATCAGCTCGGCTTTCGACTTACTCAATAGTTCAAATCTTTTATGGACCACCATTTGCAGGTTCTTTTCAGTGTTTTTGTCCATGTTTATTGTCAGTATTGATAGTGTTTTGTAAAAATGGTGATAGAGTTTGATTATTAGGGGTGAGTTTATTGATAAATTTTAGTTTTAATGTTAATTTCATCTTGTACTTGATGGTAATTATGTGATAGGGTAAAAAAGATAATTTTCATTTATAATTTAAATTGAATGTAGGAAGAGATTATGTGGGTTCAAATAAAATTTCCCTAATATAATACCTAAAATACTAATAGTTCCAACATAACTACAACCCCTCCAAATTGAAGCAGATTATTAAGAAAAGGGAAGTTATTATAACACACTCAAACCTTAAACACATGATGTTTAACAAACATTCTCCGGTGATATGATTAATCAACCGAACAAGGTTATTTAATCATAATCCGAAATACAAAAAAGTAAAAAACTTGAAGTTTAGCCTGAAATCTTCAGCTATATCATTGATGAAATGACTTATTGTAAATATTGTAGCCACCTGTATGTAACTTTATCGCCTTAAAGTGAGCATTATGTACTCTGCATAAAGGTCCCTGCGCCAACAAAATTACAAGTCAGGGGAGTGAAATAGTGTTCTTTCAATGTTTCTTATGTTTTTGGCGTAATTGGAAGACTTGATTTTGTTTTTTATTTTGTACGAGCAATATTTAGGGAGGGGAAGCAAACATAGAAATTCAGGTGTAGGGGTAAATACTCTTATTGACGCGAGCTATGATCCCCAAGTGAGTGGGTTGATATTGTGTTTAGAATACGGATCCTCACTGGATCATCTTTGTGAAGATCCCGGAGATCCGTGAATCGTATCAGTTCATCGTATATCGTGTGGTCAGAAATCATTTTAAATATTTTTATTTAAAATTAAACACAAATAGTATTTCACAAAAACTGACCACACGATATACAATGAACGGACACAATTCACGAATTCCCAAAATCCTCACCAAAAGGATCGGGAGAGGATACTGTTCGTTGTGTTTAGATGCAAAGACTTACATGGAATACTGGATAACTGTAGCAGCATTGGGAGCAGGCAAAAACTGGTCAACTGCAACCTCTTTGTTCTCATTTTTCTTGTCTATAACAATGTGTTAAGCAACACCACTTTGCAATTGTTCTTCAAAATGTTATAACCTCCAAAATAACATTCAAATATACATCTAGAGGAATGCGTTAAGTTTCAAAGTAAAATTGTAAAGGATACAGTCTTCAAAGAACCGACGAATCTCAGTGAGGCGATGAGGGGGAAGCTCTTTGATGTCTGTGTAATGGTTATATGCTGGATCATCGGCGCAGACTGCAATGATTTTATCATCTTCCTCTCCCTGGATTAGAAGCATAAAGCCATAAAAGTGAGGGAAAACAAATAAAAGCAGAAAGTAGTGGTAGAGTTTCAATTCGCTAGAGAGCTATGAAGCAGTACCTGGTCAATCATGGGCATTACTCCAATCGCTTTGGCTCGCAGAAAACAGCCCGGATGAACAGGTTCCTGTTTAACTTCACTGATTTAGATAAATCAACTTGCTAATATGAAATTATGATGGATTAGTTGGCTAATTAATGATACTAGAATGGAAAAGCATTTTGGCTATATTATGGTGCCTATTTACCTTGCGACCTGTTAACCCAAAATGAAACGACACAAATATAATAGGTTTCGAGATTTAGGTGTGTTATCGAGTCAACCCGTTAAGAACAAGTTAAATAAAGTGTTGATTTAGGTCTACGTGCGGGTAACCCTTTTAAATCCGTTAAACTAAAAGCTCTAGCTCTCTCATAAGCATAGTATATGTAAATTCACATATAATACGCGTATTATATATGTACTTATGTATACTTCACGCATTATACTCGTTCTATATTTCACGTATTCAACCTGTTCTACATTTTTCACGTAATATGATATGTTTTGGAAGTAATATTTATGTGGAATGTAGATCTAAACTTGAAGTGCTTAATGAAATTGTAGTCCTATTGTTGAATCAAAAGAAACTTACGCAACAAAAGAAACTTATGAAGTTTGTTCTTAATGATGCAAACGGGACAGGTCAGGTAACCCCATTAATTTTAACGGGTCAAGTTGGGGTTTGAATTCTTAAACCCGTTAAGATAGTTCGTGTGCCATGACACGACCCGTTAGAATAACTGGTCTGATACGAAATCAACATGAACACAACTCGTCTGCCAGGTTTTTGGCCTATTTGGCAATCTGATTCTGTTCTACTTCCATCACCATTCGATGTAGTTTGGCAGACAGATATTTTGCAGAATCGATGGATATGAAAATTAAGCATGTCACCTGCATGAGAACCAAGACATCCAGGGGATCATTGTCTTCACACAATGTGCGAGGAATGAAACCGTAGTTGTGAGGATAGACGACTGAGGAATACAAAATCCGATCAACCTGAGAAATTGTCGGAAGCAGTAAAAACAATCTTAACATATATAGATAAGTATAAAACATAGGGAGAAAGTAATGATCTTAGAAGAGAACTCTGAAAATTTTCATACCTTTATGAGTCCTGTCTTCTTGTCAAGTTCATATTTGACTTTGCTTCCCTTTGAGATCTCAACAACCTGTACCAATCCGTCAAACAATTCAATTTGCAAAACTTCAATAAATCCCCCTAGTTCCTAGTTACTTGATAAAGTACAAGCGGATGCATACAACGTTGAAAATATGGGGAGCTTTAGGTCCTGCAGACAAGAATTTGCAACATGATTAGTCTCAATATCATGGTGAAATTATTATATATAGGTACCAATTTCAAGATCTATCAATGTGTATGTATATCATGATGAAACTGTTATATATAAGTACCAATTTCAAGATCATGCCAAGGATGTGCAGCAACTGATTTTCTTGAGAGAGAAGAAAGAATCCTCTCATTTAACTTAGGAGCTTTTTTGTGTTCTTGAATAGCTGCTTTAGCTTCTTCACTTTGATCTTCAGAAGCCATCTAATTAAACATAGGCAGAAAACATGCATTTAATCATAAAACATGAACAATTGATATGTAAATAGCAAATTTTGAGCATATGCCACTACGCAGGCCGTCATAATTTACACATTTCGGTAAACATTTCAGTTTATAAGATCTTCAACATCACTGACATGTTGAAACAAGAAAAGGTTATAACCAATTTTTGGACTTCAAAAGCTTGAAGTGTCGGGAGTAACCCATCAATGTATATCAAGCTAACACCCTTTCTCGCATAGTCGCATGCAAACATGTCAGCTAAATAACTGAGAAGTAAGTATTGGAGCTATCAAACCCAAGGCAAGATCATTGATTTACAAGATTAGATTAAAGCATACGCACCTTAAGGACGTATGGGGGTTGAGATAGAAATTAGAAAGACAAAGATTAATAAGAAATAAGTGCTAAGAATATATTTAGTCTTTGCATGACATTCGTATTTATAGTAGATTGGGAGGGGAAGGAAGAGAGACAGAGAGAGAAAGGCGGGGATTGGTTAAAAATTTGAGGCAGTGCCACGTGTCAGTCTCAGATAGAAGGTAGCAGCAAACCCCATCTGTAACGGTTGAACCCTAGAAGTTTGGTTTTATGATATCCTAGCTTAATTTTCTCAGACTCATGGCGATGAGGCCTCTAATATTGCTGGTTTTACTGCCAATATATTGATCAAGATTTCAATGCAATTCGGGTGCATGCACAGGAGGATTAACAATTTAAATTGCATCATTTGACAACTCACAAATGAATAACATAAATTTATTAGCATATCCAAATCCACTGCATTTAAAGACTCGTGAAGGTTGTCCATAAAAGTCTTAATCGACCTCCAATTGATGTTACTAATTTGAAAGAATGTTGATTTTTTCATGAAATTAGGAAATTCTTTTTTTATGTGTCACACTAAAACATTTCTCGGCTATAGAGGAAGATACACAATTTACCTATTTCGAATTGCATCAAATTATGGTTTACTATTATAATTTGCATTAGATTTAAAACTCATGGAAAGAGTGAGTTTATATCATGAGGGTTACAATATTTTTTCAACTCCGTAATCCATCATGAGAGTTTCGTTTGATGAACATAGACAGGCAGGCAGGCATGATTATATGAGATGCAAGTTTTGAAGTTTTGATCTATTTGAATTCACTTCTGATCCGCTGATGTACAACACATAAAAGCAGCAAATAAATGCATGTAAACTTCTATGGAAAGTGAAATGAACAGCAAATTGTTGAGCTGCAGTCACATTTTTTTACCAGTCATAACAAATTCAAGGCACATATTTCGAATCAGGAGACATCGAAATCATCTGAAGCAGGCTCGAGTTTGAAAATGTTTCCTCTAGTCCAGGCCCTCTCCTGCTCCCTCCATCACTGCTGTCTCTTCTAATATGTACTAATTCGCGCGCAATGTCATACATGCCCAGCTTCCCATTTCCACCAAACAACAGGCACCTCATGGCAAGGTCTGCAACCACCTCTATCTGCTCACGCATGTGTGAAGGTTGCTCGTGATAGTAGAGAAGCGGATCCACAATCTCTTCCACCTTCCCACTCCTTATCTTTTGCAGAGCTACTGCCGGCAAGTCCAAGCAATTTGAGCCTGCAATCATCTCAAATAGCATGATACCAAAGGCATAAACATCATTGCGCTGAAAGCGCAAGCCTTCGTAATTGTGTGACTGAGAACTATCTCCAGGACTGGAATTCAGTAGCGCAAATCCGGCAACTTTGCTAGAAAAGTTATCGTCAATGAAGATGCAGGCAGATTTGAGATCACAGTGGAAAATGGGAGGAGAAATTTCGTATTGCAAAAAGGCAAGAACACTTGCTGTTTCAGCGGCAATGTTCAGCCTCCTGTACCAGTCAAGAGCAACATTTTGTCCTCCATTTTGATGCAAATGATCCTCGAGGGTACCATTCGCAGGATGTTCGTATACCAGCAGTGAAGTGTAGGCCAAGTCAATGCAGCATCCAATGAGTCTCGCAATATTTTGGTGCAAAACAGCAGATAAAACCTCAATTTGTGATAGGACTTGAATTAGGTCTTTTTCATTTTCACATTCCACCTTGTGCACTGCAATGTGCGATCCATCACCAAGAACCCCGGCAAAGATTGTGCCATTGTTTCCATGTGCAAGTTTCTGACCCTCCTCAAACCCTTTCGTAGCTTCCTCCAGCTCATGGTAAGTGAATAACCGCATCCCACTAGCTTTTCGGAATGATATTGTGTTGTGAAAATGGACTTTCTGAGCAGGATCAAATGTCCCGGGCTTAGCAGGCCGCTTTAGTATATACAAAAGTGCAATCAAGGAGGCTATGATGAAAACTGGAGCTAGAACTCCTGCAGTTCAACATCTCATGATATTATTCCACAACAATGAATAGGAAGCTTTAATAATGCTGACATTGGTTTATTTTCTTTATTCTTCCGTCACATACCGCCTAAAATTACAAGTTTCCGGCCACCATGCTTTTTCTTTATGCAATCACTGCCATATGCTTCCTTTCTGTCCTTGATGCATGCTGCCAAAGGCATGTCAATTGTAAGTAATGCCATGGTTATACTAGTGGTGGTTTCAAAGTTTACAGCGCAACACCAACAACGTGAAAAAATAAAAGGGCTTTTGACATAGAGGCCTATATAAATAATAACATTACAGCGTAGAAAAATACATTTCAATTTCAGTACTTCTTAAAAGAAATAATAAACCGTGGCGACATTTCAACGGAAGAGGGGCACCAAAGGAACTTTAAAGCTAAGAATCATATAAAACATGACAAATAGTTAGTCGAAGAATTGTTCTCCAATTGAACACGCTGACATAGTTGTCAGTGTTTTTTTTCATTTTCCTAAAAATAAAGTAAAATTTTCTTCAAATTGATTAAAGAACATCGAACTTCTTTATCTTTATGAAAGAACATGTTAGATTTGCAATAGACCACATAAACAAGGAAATGAATAATCTGCAGAAAAAAGAAAATGAACTTTTTTTTTTTCTTCCAATAATTTAGAGTTGTCTGCATCATGAAAGCAATCATGGTATACACAGAGATTGTAACATCCTACATTAACCAACGGAGAGAGGGTGTTGTTCCTTATATGTACATGCCCACCTCCATATACAACGAGGTCTTTTGGGAACTTGTCTTTGGGTTTCATTGGAACTCCGAAGTTAAGCAAGTTTGGGCGAGAGCATTCTTAGGATGAGTGACCTATTGGGAAGTTCTCGTGAGTTCTCAGAAACAAAACCGTGAGGGCGTGGTCTAAAATGGACAATATCGTGGTACGGCAAAGCCGGTCTGGGACGTGACAGAGATAATCATACGCACAAATTAAAACTAAAAACTAAAAACTGAGAACTGATATGATTATTCCAAAAATGCACCAATAATGACTCGACGAGCTCGGAAGTGCTCAGTAATTCAATCTTAGATGCAATTAATAGTCAAAGTATGATTTTTAAAGTGAAAAATAGATATTTAAAACATTTTCATAAATTACTCACATTTCAAGCATCCTGCACCGGCTGCAAAGCCATCACCAAGGAACCCATCTGGACACATGCATCTCACCCCTCCTTCAACCACTGTTGCATTAACAATATAAGCATTGCTATCACAAACTCCCTTGGATGAGTTCTTTGGCACTGCCCATTCCAATTTTATCCCCCTCTTCCCCAGGTTAGACCCTCTTTCCACAACCCAACTGGAAAACCCCCTGCATCCAAACTTGGCAAAAACCGAAAACTTGTCACCGAGATGCCACACGCTATGATCAGATAGGGGGTAGCAGCAAGCAGGAGAGCCATTATCATTGCCATCACAACCAGGCAAGTCATTTGTTTCACAATCTGTCTTGCACAAAGAAGAGTCCTCACAATCGTACAAGCCAACCACGTTTTCAACTGCGACTCCTAAATGGTCATTTCCCAAGAAATCGAAAGAGTTCAAGTCGTTGTACTGACTGCACGAAGAGAAGCCCGGAAAGTCCACTAGTAGACCATCTGAGAAGAATTCTAGCACGCGGTAGCTTGCAGAACCAATGTTGAGGAAAAGAGTTGTTGAGTTTTGGCAAGAGAGGTGGAAAGCATCAGAGACTGAACTGCAAGACTTGTTCAAGTGAAATGGGAAGGGAAGTTGAAGTTGTCCACATTTTTCATGGCAAAGCTGGTCGGGAAGTGAATTGGGTTGCTCTAGATTTTGTTGCTGATCATGGAGGGAATGAGAAAATGGTAAGGAATTAATGAGTCCAAGGAGGAGAAGGGAAGGTAGAAATAGAGGTAACATTGCCAGTACTGAAACCGCTGAGAGAATGTTTGGAAAGAAATATCTGCTTAAGGAAGAAGAAAGGAGTGCAGGTTTGATGAGACTGTACCTAGTAAGTACTTGGCCTTTTTGTTGCCTATGCTTATATGCTAGTGGCAAATAGAATAGTGAGAGAGGGTTATTTATTTATTTATTTATTTTTTGGGAGGAGCAAGTGGGAGAGGGTTTAAGTAGTGTAATATGAGTCATACATGGATTCAATACAAAGTGAAGGTCATGAATTGCCATGTAAAATAGGAGAAGTATTTGTGTGGGGATGCTATCTCCTCAAGTGGCACTGCTGAGTAGTATAACCATTCAGTTGAAAAATCGTATGCTATTCAATATTGTCATCTTTACACAAGATCAAGATCAGTTGGTCTAATAGCATACGGTCTCTATTTAGTTGAATGAAGTCTCAGATTTGACTTGCATAAATCCAATGACAATACATGTTTTGTGAGTTTAGTATCAAGTTGTGACCTATTGTATTTGTTGTAGGTGGGTTCACAACCCATTAGCGTAGGTATCTTTGTAAATGTCTTATTGTTTCTCAAAACATTGTCATATTTAACATTTTAGTTAAAAATCATGGCAAAATACATGAGAGTTTTAATTGAGTTGTAATTAGCTAGTGTCACTTATCACTCACTTGACAACAAAAGTGTTCCTTATAGAAATTATTGTATAATATAAAAATATCGTCGTATGATTTATTAATAATATGCGTATTCTAAAGTATATCGTTGTGTGGTTCAATGATAATATGCAAACTCTAAAATATTGAAATATTTCTTCTCCAATTTCCTCTGCCCTTTATGCTTCACGATAATCATCATTATAACACGTAAAATGATTATACCACGCGACGATATTCTAATACCACACGATACAATTTCCTCGTGTGGAGTCGGGCCCCACAATGGTGTAGGACTAGGTGATTAGCAAGGTGAGGAATGCAATTGGATGTTGATGGAGGGTAGCTTGGGAGTTTGAAAAAGAGGAGACGATTTATGGTCTGTGGAATGGCCTACATTCATACCGTATATTCATATGGAATGCCGTGCATGCTATGGGCGTGGCCGAAGTGTGAGATTTTCGATT